TCCTTACTCATGCTGTTGAGCTTCCTCAAGATCATAGCTCTGAACTCTACCTCTGATAATTTGCTTAACTGCATTTCATTGATCTCATCTTCTATAGGATTCTCTTGTTCTTTCATTTGATATTTGTTTCTTTGTTTCACCATTTTGGCTATCTCAGTGGGTTTTGGAGACTGCCAAATTTTCCCTGTGGGTGTTGGTATTCTTCTGTTTGTAGCTTCCTCTACTGGGTTTGGATGAGCCTGGGTGGGCCCACGTTAAACACCACTGTCATATCTTACTTTCCTGGATAGATTTGCGATCCCAGAAAAGGTTCAGTTATCCTCTAGCTTTTTCCTGGAGGCTAGTAGTCTCAGTTACTTAGTGCCTTGGAATGTAGCTTTTGTGTTCTGCATAAGAAGGTTTCCAGAGGGTGGGATAGATGCTGGTTGTTAATGAGCCTCAATTTGCATTTCTTTGCCTCACCTGAGAAAGGCTGAATCTCCGAGTGGGGGGCTGCTTTTCCTCACAGCTCTGGGAAGGAGCACTCTGGCCATTGTCCTTTTTGGCCGCAACTCAGCAAAAATTCTGAGTGCCCTCCAAATCCTGAGTATGCCCACAGAATTCCAGCCCTGTCTGCCCTCCCTCAGCCATAGCTCCCAGGGGAGTGGCTGTGGCTATTTTAGCACTCTGTCCTGGCTCTCTTGGCAGTGGAATGGGCTTGGTCTTTATTCCTCAAGGGCACTTCTCACAGCTAAGACTGTTGCTGTAGTTGGTCTCTCAGCCTGCCACCCTCTCACACCTCCACAGATCCTACCAGTGTCCCTGGTTATATGGTCCTTTCCTGCTGCTTTTCTGTTGCTTTTTTCCAAGGATTTGTTTTATTTTAGTTGTAATTCCCGTTTGGTTCTGGGAGATCATCTGTGTAGCTTCCATTCACTCTGCCTTCATTTTTACATCCTCTATGCCTATCTTGTGCATGGCTGGGTCACAAAGGCCTTTCTGGTGCTTCAGCACCCTGAAGGTCCCATGGGTAACTAGATGACACAGTTTCTGCTGGGTCACAGAGGCCTCTCTGGTGCCCCTGCACCCTGCAGGTCCCTTGAGTGGGCAGCTGGATCACACCAATCCCTCTCAGGCTTTGGCTTCCCACTGTTCTTGTGAACTGCTGGATTGCACAGGCCTCTGGGGAGCCCAAGGTCCTGCCACTGGTGGCTGGAGAGTGCTGCTGCCCCGTGGGGCTCAACTCCTGCTCACCTTTTGTTGTAGTTTTTGGGGATGGGTCTCGGCTGCTGGTCTGTGCTTCTGTTGCCTGGGGATGAATGTCTACTCCCCAGCTTCTGTTTCTGGGGGTATATCTCAACTCTGATCAAGCTCCTACTATGGGGGATGGTGCTGGGCTCCTGGCTGTTTGCAGCTTCTGCGACCGGCATCTTGGGAACTCTACTATTGTGCACTGATCTGTGTTGAGACAGAGTGTCCACTAGTCCAATGGTGCCAGGTGCACTGGTGGGCTCAGGTTGCTGGGCCCTAGCCATTCCTACTGCCTCCTCACAGGGAAGTCCCAGGATCTTCCAAAATGTTGGGACCTTCCCTGGGTGCAGGGAGAAGCGCCCTGAAGAGCCTCTTACTGTGGTAGCCATCTCTTCACTGCTTGGGTATGGTCATCCACCTTCATGTACACTTACACTTTCTCACATACTTGTTCACTCTCTCACACACTCACCCTCCTCTCGGTCCTGCCCACCTCCATCTTCTATCCTAAGGTATTTTTTTTTTTATAACAGTGACATCATTCTTTATTTCCTCTTGATTTTTATGCATAGCTTGTACCTCTTTTTTTAAGTAGTTCCCAGTGAGCTCTTCATAATTTTTGTTAAGTTGCTTGTAGTTCTCACCAAATTGTTTGAGCACCCTTATAATCATTGCATTGAATTCTTTATCTGACAAGTTGCTTACTTCCATTTCCTGTAGTTTATTTTCTGGTGATTCTTCTTTTTCTTTCCTTTGGGTGTTATTTTTTCATCTCACCATTTTAGCAATCTGGTAGTTCTAGGCCCGGTGAGGAATGTTGGAGTGTGTAGGCAAGTTAGTGTGTATCAAATAAGGCTGCCATACCTCCCAGACTGTTTTGGTGTATGGTGCTTTTTGCCTCAGGTTGCTTGGCCCTAGCTGCTCCCAGTGTCTTTCTCCAATGGAAGACCAGGGATCTTCCAAAATGGTGGGGCCTCCCAGGCATGCAGGGAAAAGTTTGCTGATGTGCCTCTTACTGAGGTAGCTGGCTGCTTTCTGTCCATAGCACAGGAACCTTCTGCCCAACATCTCTGCACTGCTCAAGGTTGGACATCCACACTCATGTCCACTCAAACTCGCTCACTTTCTCACACACACATCCTTGCTCTGGTCCTGTCCACCACCATCAGTTTTTTACCTTTTTCTTTTTTTCTTTGGATGTGTTTCTTGTCTCATCATTTTGGCTGCCTCCTTGTGTTTATTTGTGTATATTGGGGAAATCTGCTACATCTTCCAGTTTGGGCTGGGTTGTAGTAGCTGTTCTATGAGGACCAGTAGTGCAGTCTTTTGGTCACTTGAGTCTGGTGCTGCAGGTGTGTCTCTTTTGTCACTTTTGTAGCTGAGCCTTGCTTGCTGTTGGCATGTAAGTGGAAAAGATTAACCCTTAGGCTGACTGGCTGTGAGAAATGGCTGTGATTACAGTGGATGAGATGTTGTATGAGGGCTAATCTCATGGAGCAAAATTCACCCTAACAGGTCTCTGGTGTCTGCTGAGTCTACATTTTAGGTGTATCATTTGAGTGGTTGGGTGGTACTCTGGTATGGTCTTAAGCCTGCTACCAAATGTGTTCGTTCTGGGGCCTCTTGGGAGGGCCTCAAGCCTCTTGACAGGCCAAGGTAAGCAAGCCGCCTCTGCCTGTCCTGGAGCCACCTGGTGGAAGCTACAATGTGATTTGTAGATGATTACTCCTGTGCTGGACTTGCATATACCTGAGAGAGAGTAACCTGTGAACCAAAGCTGGTTGCCACAACTGCCAGGCTTAGGACCACTGAGCAAGAGGGAAAGCGCAAAGCAAGACCAGTTGCTGCTTATTTGGGGGTTTGTGAAACTTTGTGAGATTTTTAAGAAAGTTGAAGCTTGTGTATAGACAGGCCACTTGTGTGAAAAAGCTGCTGGAAAAGGTTTAGGCCTGGTTCTTCTGTTAGGTGCAGTGAAGTATCAAGCTATCACCAGTGTGGGACAAATGGTATTTGCCAGGTTAATGAAATATTTAAATTTGGCACCCACCTGCATCTGCAGGCTGGGTTGGGGCATGGCCAGCACTTTTGTTTCCAGAGTGAGCTGTTCTGATGCCAGCCTTCATCCTGAATCTGGTCAACTCGGGTCCTTTTTGTATGTCCCTGGTGCTATTTGAGCTACTACCTCCATGCTGGAGCTCAGAGTGTCAGTATGTGAGTAAGTCAGTCCTTGCCAGGGCCCTTTAAGGGGAATGACTGGGACTCCAGAAGCCTCCATCTCACTCAGCTGCAATCTACATTAGTTTACACAGCTGGAAATTATGGGGACTTCTCTTCCGGGCACTAGATCTCTGGGATGTGGAGCCTGGTGTGGGGCTCAGACCCCTCTCTCCTTGGTGGAGGTGAGGGAGTCTGCTGCTGAGATATCCCACCCATTTCTCAACTGCCATATCATGGGTGTGGATCCTACCCTTTTTGTATATCCTCTTCTATTAATCTAGACGTGGCTTCTTTGTATCCTTATTTATGGTAGTTCTGTTCAACTAGTCTTGAGGTGGTTTTCAATAATGGTTATTCTAAAATTCATTTGAATTTTTACTGGATTTATAGGAGGAGGCAAGCACAGCAACTTCTTACTATGCCATCTTTATTGGAAGTCTCTGATCTTTTTAACATTGCGATAATTTTATCTTCTCTGTAATGTAATTGTAATTGTATAGTATTTAGTCTTTTCAAACAGTTGATTTTCACTTAGCAATATGTATTTAAGATCATCTGTGTTTTTTCATAATTTGATAGTTCATTTCTTTTTATCACTGAAAAATATTTTATTGTATGGATGTACCACAGTTTGTTTACCTGTTCACCTATTGAAATTTATCTTGGTTGTTTCCAATTTTGAGTGGTTATGAAGAAAGCTGACATAATCATGTGTATATCTTCTATGATGGGGTGTTTTTTATTTAGATATGGTGCCCATTTTTAAAAATTGTGTTTTCTTATTGTTTAACTTTAAGAGTTCTTTGTGTATTTTTGATACAAGTCCTTTACCAGATATGTATTTTGCAAGTATTTCATATCTGTCTGAAGCTTATCTCTGAGTTTCTTTGACAGAACAAATGTTTCTAATTTTTCTAAAGTACAATTTATTAAGCTTTCCTTTCATGGATTATGCCATTGGTGTACCTAAAAATTCATCACTAAACCTAAGGTCAAATATATTTTATCCTGTGGTCCCACTTGAAGGACTTTCTTTTTTTTTTCTTTTCTTTTTTTTTATCCTCACCCGAGGATATTTTTCCATTTTTTGTACAGATAGAGTGGGAGGGAGAGAGAGGAAGGGAGAGACAGACAGAAACATCGACGTGAAGGGACACATCGAGTGGCTGCCACCCGCATGACCAACCAGGGCCGGGAACAAACTGCAACCGAAGTACGTGCCCTTAGCGGGAACCGAACCCTGGTCTCTCCAGACCGCAGGCCGACGCTCTAACCGCTGAGCCAAACTGGCCAGGGCCACTTGAAGGACTTTCAACTGATGTGTAAACTGCTTTGGGGGATATTTCAGGACTTCTTTCCTCCCTCCAAAACTAATCTGGACAAATTATGTGTTGCACAGATTTCTCTGTGTATTTTTTTTAGAACCCAAATGCAATTTTCATCCAGTATAATTTTTACCTATTCATCCCATAGTAAAACCTATCTGTTATAAAAAAAAATATGATTAGGATTGAGCGGGCCTGAATGGGCGCCCTCGGTGGCAAGGCACTGTCATGGAGGGCCTGCTGAAGAAGACTACTGGCCTCATGGGGTTGGCTGTGTGTGAGAGTCCACACGAGAGGCTAAGAATATTGTATGCAAAGATTCTTGATGTCCTTGAACAAATCCCTAAAAATGCAGCATATAGAAAATATACAGAACAGATTACAAGTGAGAAGCTGGATATGGTTAAAGCAGAACCAGATGTTAAAAATTTAGAAGACCAGCTTCAGGGTGGCCAAATAGAAGAGGTGATTCTTCAGGCTGAAAATGAACTAAGTCTGGTGAGAAAAATGATACAATGGAAACCATGGGAACCTTTAGTGGAAGAGTCTCCTGCCAACCAATGGAAATGGCCAATATAATCATCATCAAATGACTTGTGTGTTGAAGGGAAGCTGAGGTAATTAAATGTTCTGTTATATCAAAAAAAAGATTAATATATCATGTGGTCATCCAGTTAATAGAATTGTTTTACCTCAATGATAATTTTTATCATATTTCAAAATAAGCAACTCAACATGGGACATTATTTCAGTCTTTACTGACTGATAGCATATAAACTAGTGCCCAGCTTCTACCTCTTTTATATCCTCCTCCTCTCTAAGTGGATGGAATTATTTAATACAAGTCTGATGCATGACAATTAACTCTTTACAAACATTTACAACTTAAGTTAAAGTCATTGACTAGTATGAAAAAGAAGCCCATTATAATGATAGGGAGCCTACACATTGAGTTCAAATTTAGTATCTTTTTCTCCTTAAATAACAAGTACTTAATTGTCCTAAGGCAGCTATTCAGTTTTTAATAACCACATTAAAGAATATATTCATGGGACTGGTTAGATAGTCCAGGTGAAATGGTTATAGAAATAGAGGCATTGTCATCTCAGAAACTCATTTATATATCAAAATCTATTTTGATATCTGGAAGTATACCAAAAGGCTGAATTCTTCAAACTAATTATGCCTTCTGTAACTCAAGCACTCTTCTCTTGGCAAGATAAGCTGAAGCTTATCCATGAAGGTAAAGGTGCTTAATTTTCTAAGCTTTGATTTAGACTGCTGAAGAAACTGACACTCAAGAAACCAGCATTGTCTTTCTACATTTTTACTTTCTTAAGATTAGAACCCTTAAACTCACTCATCAGCTATCTTTTTCTGTATTATTCTTGGCACTCAATTTAGTTTTGCATTTTAATATTAGATCTGTAATCCATTTTTAGTTCATTTTCATAAAAAGTATATAAGAATATTTTTTTAATGTTTCATTTTCTTTCATTTCATTTCTGGTATTTAGAAATATGACTAATTTTTGTATGTTGCCCTGCTATATTTTTAGCTTGCTAGATTCACATATTCATTCTGTTAAGTCCTTGATAGGCTTTGTTTTTTTTAGCATTTTCCACAAATATAATAATGCTATCTCTAACAAAATATATTATAATTTTTCCCCAATCTCTATTGCTTTTTATTCCTCATTTCTTGTCTTTTTAAAAGATGCTTGGTCATTCAGAACAGTGTTGAATAAAAGGGATGAGAGCCAATATCTTTACATTGTTCCTAATCTAAGGCAGGAAACATTCACTCTTTCACAATTAAGTGTGATATTAGATGTATATTTTTTACAAATATCCTTTATAAGTAAGATGAAGCTCAATTTTATTTCATGGTTGCTGAATACTTTATGATTAATAAGTGTAAATTTTCTCAAGGTTTTTCTGCACTTATTGATATGAAGATGTGTTTTTATCATTCATTTCACTAACGTGGTGAAACACATCAAGTTATTATAGTTTATTTTGTGCTAGTTTTTTTGTCTGTTAATATGGTGAATGGCACTAATTGCTTTCCAAACAGTAAACCAACCTTGCATTCCTTGAATAAACCATGCTTAGTCAGCATGTTATCATTTTTACATATTTTAGATTTGCACAAAAAGTTTTACACCTAAGTAAATGAGAGCTATTGTTCTATAAACTTTTTTTAAAAATGTATTTTCAGGTCTTGTTATCATGAATATACTGGCTTCTTTAAATGAGGGGAGTTATCTTCTCATTCTCTAATCTTTGGGAAGAATTTTTTTTTAAGTTTTATTTTTTTCTTAAATGTTTGATAGAATTGACTTGTCAAACCATCTGTGTCTATAGCTTTTTGTGAAAGGTTTTAAATTACAAGTCAATTTCTTTCATTGTTTTTATGTTTTATATGAATTTTTTGTTATTTTTGTTTTTCAAGAAATTTGTCCATTCCATCTGAGTTGTGGAATTAATGGGCATAAAGTTCCTCATAGTATTACTTTATCATCTTTCAATGTGTGCTGTAATCTCCCCTCTTTCAAATTTGTCATTGTTCATTTATGTCTCTGTTTTTTTATCTGTTTAGCTAGTAGTTTATTATTTTCATTTATCTTTTACAAAGAGCCAGCTTTTTGTTTTTCGTTTTTTTTTGCCCATTTTCTGTTTTATTGAATTCTACTCTTATCTTTACTATTCTTTTTTCCATTTACTTTGGCCTTAATTTACTCTCCTTTTACTAGCTTCTTAGGGAGAAACAATAGGTTATTGATTTTGGACTTTATTTTTGTTAAACATAAGCATTTAAAGTTATACATGTCCCTGTAAGCTCTGCTTTAGTTGCATCCCTCAAATTTGATGTGTTTTTATTACCAATTGGTTTCAAACATTTTGTAATTTCTTTTATAATTTCGATTTCAGCCCATATGTTAATTACAAATGTGTTAATTATACGGATGATTAGACTCTTCTGACATACCTTTGGCTACTGGTTTCTAATTTAATTTCATTATGGTCAGAGAACATGTTCACTATGATTTCAATACATCTAACTTCATTGAAACTTGTTTTATGGTCCTACATATGGCCTATTTTAGTATTTTTTCTATAGTCACTTTAAAAAGTGTTCTATAATGTTAATAGGTCAATTTGGCTTATAGGTCTTGCATATCCTTATTTTGGCACTCAATATATGAATTACTGAGCTGAGTGAAATCTTGAACTGCAGTTGTGAATTTTAAAAATTTCTCCTGCCTGGCCAGTGTGGCTTAGTGGATTGAGCTATTTCTCTGGGCAAAATAGAAAGCTGCTGGAAACCCGGGAAAACTCTCACTGAGCCCTCACACAGATTCACTCACTCACAAGCACTCATCCTAGACTTCTGAAGAGGTACAGTGGCTTAAATGGCACCAGAGACATACAAGGAGAGACTGAGTTATGTAACTTCAAGGTGAAGGCGGGAGGGAAAGCCATCATTGTCCATGTGTTGAGCCCTACTACCAGACCTTTAGCAGGCGAGTGACATCTTTTATGCATTGAACCTAGCCCCACACAACCAAATCTGAATCTGCATTTGCCTGGTGAATGACCTTTGTTCCACCTTAGTGACTACCTGAGACTTCCCTTCAACCAACTTGCATAATACCAAAGGCTCTTTCTGAGGCAGGTAGTCAGCATTAGCCTGCACTGAAGTCTTTCTTAAAAACTCTCAAAGGTCCACAGGCTCCAGGCAGATGGTAGCTGGTCTCAGTGTGCCATGCCTTTTACTGTATAGGCTCCAGGCTCAGGATTGGAATCAAGGCTGAATCTGCATTAACTTGGTGAACACAACAAGCTTCATCCTGGTGAATCCATGAGACTGTGTTTCACCCAACTTGTGTATTACAAGTAACTGGGCCTTGGGCAGCAAGCAGAAATGGCAGGCTTCTAAGTGCCCTGTGCCTTTGCTCAGCAAACTCAGTACCCAGTACTAATGGCAACCAGCCTTGACTTGCAGTGTGGCCTCTCTCACATCCCTCCAGGTCCAGTGCAGGTGTCTACCAACAGTGGATTACTTTGTAGCTCTTACCAGGTAGTATAGAGCCAGTCACAGGCAGCAGTTGATTTTGGCCTGTACCACAGATTCTCCCAAGAAGCCACAGATCCAACACACTCAATGGCCAGCTTTAGACCACAACAGAATACCACTCCAATAGCTTGACAAGTGGCACAAACAAAGGGTGGACTAAGCAGGCACCAGAGCCCACTCAGAAAATCTTGCTTCATGGGGTCAACTCCTGCACAGCAGCTTGCATGCTGTGGTTAGTGCCAATACTTATAGCTAGTCAGCCTGAGGGTCAATCCCAGCCACTGACATGCCAACAGAAATCAAGATTCAACTACAATAGAAGGGCACACACAACCTATAAAAGGGACACTCCTGAAGTACCTGGTTCAGGTGACCACAGAGGCTGCCACTAGGCCCCTCAGGACACCTAATGCACAAGGCCACCCTTTCAAGACTGGTAAATGTAGCAGATCTACCTAATGCATAGACAAAAACACAGAGAAGCAGCCAAAATGAGAGACAAAAAAACATATCCAAAATGAAAGAAAAGCACAAAACTCCAGAAGAAGAACTAAATAAAATGGAGACAAGCAATGTACCAGATGCAGTGATTATAAGGTTGCTCGATAAACTTAGAACTTCAACAAAGAAATGGTAAGCATGAAAAAGGACCTAGAAACTACAAAAAGAACCAACCAGGAAAGAAGAACACAATAACTGAAATGAAGAATACACTAAAAAGAAAAAAAAAAAACCACACTATGTTTAGCCGATAGTTTTTAGCATGTTTTCTTCACCTAGCCTCCTGTAGTTTTACCTTATTGAAGTTCAGATTAGTATTCTGTCAAATAGTCAAGGGACTCCCTATGCAGAATTTTGGATCTCATTTTCTTCTTATTGCCCTCCTGCCTGTCTTCTTAAGTCAGCCTCCCCAAGTTTTTATCTCTGGCTTATAATCAGTGACATCTCCCAGTGATGTTTAAAGTTCTCCTTCCTGTGCCATGGTCCAGAAGTTGCCTCCAGGGAGAAAGCTGCAACAATAAAAATACACATCCTATTGGTTTTCTCTTTCACTGGCTGAAAAGAAATGGCTTCAAATATTTATTTCATACATTTTGTCCACTTTTCTAGTTGTTTATAACAAGTTGACAAGCTTCATACTGATAACCCCTTCTTAAGTGGAAAACAAATTTAGTGCTTTCTTCTTAATTTGAATGGATAACCCAGGATAAGCAGAGATTTGAGGACCACAGAACATAAGATACACTTAAAATTGTAGAATAGGGAAAAGGAAGCTGTTGGAGATAGAAAAAAAAAAAAAAAATGGTGGCAGAATATGTAAAAGCACCGTGTGCTGGTACCAAACAGGAGTTACAGCTAAAATTTGGAGCAGTTAACCTGAATTAACAACAGAAGGTCACCTGAACTGGAGCATTATATCCAAGGAGTAAAACTAAAGAAGGTACACAGAGACTGGCAAAAAGGGAAGAGACAAGAAAAGGGCTGTATCCAGCATCCAGGTGCATTGTCTGTGAAGCTAGAGAAATATT